ACACACACACACACACACACACACACACCACTGCCATCACCCTTCAAACAAAACCAGCAGCACCTCAAATATCAGTAAAAAGAAATGCTACTGTTTAATATTCATTGAGAAAAGAAAATCTAAATGAGAGGCCTATCACTACATCTCCACAGCTTCATCTCTGCGCCTGTCTCGAACATCAGAACAGGCTGATTAGTGGTGCAGAAGTCTGACAGTTCGAGGAACTCATTAGAGATTGATAAGACACTGGGTTTTTCAGACGAGAGGGAGGAGCTCTGTGCTTCATGCTAACCCTCTCTTCACCTGCTGTGTGTTTTGCAACAGAGAGCACACAGGTACAGTGGAGGAAAGACGCATAGCCTCAGGGACACATCCTTTTTTTTTCCTTCTCTCATCTTGATGAGTCTGACGTTTCTTCCTCATGCGAGAACATTGCACCTCATGCACAATAATTATGAGTGCGGTGTACAGCTGCAAAGCACTGCGAGCGGTGCAGAGCCTGGTCTAACTAATGTGTTTACAAGCTGCCAGGATTGTTCAACACTGCTATTTTTCTGCAAAGATTAGGAGAACACGGTCACTTAATACCCGGTGCAGGTGTGGCTTAAAAATAGGGTGTCATTTAGCATCCGGCTTTCTGTATGAATTGGAATAAAAAGCTATGTCTCCAATATGTATTTGTCTATATTAAAGCTACAGCGTGACATTCTTAATAGTGAGGCTGTGTTTCTTTGTCTGCAGCAGAGATTAAACAGAGAAATGCACTGAGGGGCCTGACATGAACTGTCACAGCAGAGACTATTCACAGGGCTGAAGATTGTATATGAATCACTTGAGAAAATGAACATTTGACTGTGTATTGGATTGTGTAGCCCGGGTGGTCACATCATACCTCTACAGTTGTAATTTAAGGGGAGTTAGAGGGGTTCTACCCCTCCCCAAAACTAAAACTGGCCTGTATAGCTCATATCGTCACACTGAATAAAGGAATATTGACTGTTTGATAAAGTGATCTGTTTTCTTGATTTTCTAGATTTCATTTGCACCAAGAGCAAAGAATAATATTTTCAGCCCAATTATTATTGCAGCTACTTTGGCTACTATCTAGTTGGTATTATCTAGCAAGTGTGAGGTATAAATAGTGAGTAAGAAATAACAGTTTTAGGTTAGTGTTATTTGACCTCCAACATTCAACCCACAGTTTTTTTTTAACAATGAAAAAAGTATAAAAAGTGACTCTCAGCATTTTTCTCCTCCGCCACATCTCTGGATTGTGTCAGGTAGTTAAGGTGGGAGCTCAGAGAACACTGCAAACCTGAACCCTTCCCATCCTCACCCTCCCTTTGCTCTCCATCCCTCTTTCTCTTGCCCTTTCCTCCCCTCGCTCCCACCACCTTTTCTCCGTCTTTATCTTTTCCACAGAGGTGAGAGATTTGTAACCTTCATTATTGACAGCAACTAAAAATAACCCCCTCTCCCCACTCCTCAATTTATCTAGTCTCCATCTCATCCAATATGGATATCACAAGCTGCCTCCTGCCCCGCACACACTCAGGCTGGTGTAACCTCAGCCAGAATACCACCTCATTTAAAGGGGCATTGATTTCACCACTAGTGCTCTATGAATACATTCCTCATGCGCGAGTGCCCAGCAGTGTGTGTTTTCTGCCTTCTATTCTTTTACGGACCGTGAAGCTTGAGACCACGGTGCAAGTCAAACTCTGGAGAGCCATTTGCACCTGACAGCAATGCTCATTTTCTTATTGTCGATGAATTCCCCGCTTGCACTGAAGTACGCACACAGCTCTCTGTGAACAATGTGAGGCGCATCCAAGGGATGTTATCATGCAATTTCTTTCACTCTACAGAATAAAAATTGAACAAATACTCCTACTGTATTGAATGAAGGTAGTTTCTCTATATAATGAAGTTAAAATGAAGCCTATTTTCCTAAACTTCTCTGCCTCAGAGATGCTCTAAAGAACAATGCTTGTTCTCTTAGCAGGCTGCAGGCATATTTGGATTATGTTTTATTGATCCTAAAACAATATCTTGGCTTTTTCCCTAATTTCCTAGATAATTACACAGTGCACTGCCTTAAATAATTAATGTGTTTCAATATGTATAATCAGGCAAAGACTAAATCATCCTTATCGTAGCAAATGCCTGCAACGTCTAGTAGAGACTTACCTGAGGCTGATTAGACAAGAATTACAGGTGGATCGTTCAGGTCTACTGGGTCCACTTGTAATGTGCTGAACTTGTGCTCTGCAATTTCATCTCCTCCGTACTCTGGTGTGAGGGAAAAGAAAATTATTTACAGGTTTATTGTAAGACTTAATAACTCACAAGGAGAGAGAGAAAGAGAGACACCGAGGGGCTCTCCATCCCTCCAGCCCCCCTCAAACACTCTACAGGAATCTTCTAATCTCAGCAGTTAATAATGTGTTGTTGTTTTTCTCCCCGGTCCTTTCTCCTTCTCTCCCTCTTGTACTCACTCCCCTCCTCTCCTCTCTTACCCGGTTGTCCAGGCGACAGTCAGTGAGAGACATTTCCTCGTAGAAGCTCCTCTAGCTCTCTTTCTCTCTCTCTCCCTCCCATGGCTTTGTTCAGCCTGCTCTGCTGCCAAGCTCACCAGAGGAGGAGGTGAGCACAGCCCGAAACCCTGTGCACCCCTCTGATGGAAGGCAAGAGAGCACAAAGGAGGGTTTTTCTTTTAGAAATGAATCAAAACGTGTGTTGGACTGCTTCCATCTCAATTCAGCTGCTTTTGTGGGAGCAGAACGATGCAGTTTGTCGTGATGCTGCAGTCGAGCCCCCTCCCATCCTGTCAGAAGTGGTATGGTCTAGTCTGGTCTCAGTTGGTGGGGAGGTGGGGTGTGTTATGAAAGGGTGATCAGAATAACTGGCTACAGAGTGAGAGGAAGAAGAGCAGATAATTGAAAATAATCACCTGAAGTAAGTGTTGATTAGCTTGTGGTTGGTTTCTCATTTCAGAGCGTGGTGCTCTTCCAGCAGCTACTGTAGATTTGAATGTTATGTGAGCAGCATCACTGTGAGGCTGATGAGACTTGTCATGTTTGCATTGTTGTTTGTCCAAAAAGAGTACTTCCCTCATTCACTTGCATATAAAATAACCACGTTCAACGTATCCATCAGCTCACTCTGCTGCCTCTGTTCAGCTTTTACTAAGATCACCTCAACATTATCAAAAATCCATCATCTCAATGGGAGTGTGTGTGTTTCCCTCGATATATAGTAGCATGGAGTCAAATACCTCAATAACAAGGTGTGGAGACTGGTGCTAATGTCACTGTGAGTGTGTGTGTGTGCTGGCACCCTTCAGGGCACTTTGGTGCAGCTGTGACAGACTCATTGGACCAAACAGACTTTTTCAGTCACTTGAGATCAATAAAAGCGAAGCAGAGTGAGTTTAATCATATCTACCGCTGCGGCACCCTGGGAGATAAACTAACAAGATATTATGAAAACTGATCAATCGTTATAACCGCATGCTGTCAATAACACCCAAACACACTCAGTACAGTGTCTTTTGTTCGCTTTTAATGAGTCCCTCCAGTCTGAACAGACTTCATTTGGTAAACATGGTATCACAAATATTGGCAGGCAAGAACTCAGAGGCAGTTCACACATGATAATAATAACAGCTGGAGTCCAAAACTCAGAGTGAGAGGTCTCAGACCTTTGGGCCGCCACTGTACATTTAAATAATACAAATATACATGAGCTATTCATTCATACGTCCTCACACGCATACTGAACACACACATGCAATGTTGTGTTTGCTCCCTGACCAAATAGAAAAGGTTTGGTGGTGAAAAAAACTCATTTTTAGGAACATTTGTTATTGGGCGAAGGGAAAAGATTTACATTAATTCCTACTTTACTTTAGGGGATGAATTTATCTGACAATCACCCTAAGTTTGGAACATCAGAAGAAGATTTTTAAACATTGAGTGACATTACACAATGGAATGGCTCTGGTTATAAGCTGATAGTTTACAAATAAATGCATGCAGGAGGTATTCGTGTACTGAATCTCTTAATCGACAGTTGGTCTGTATGTTTGGAAATTCAAGCGGAACAGGCTATGAATGATTTAAAGTGGAAATCCGTCGATAATTAGTTTGGAGGAAGGGAAGAGACGTTACAGAATATTGAAGTCATGTGATGTACCTGCATGTGATCTCCTTTTTCATTTAAAACAAATATTTTAATCACAACTCACTAACACCACAATTTTTATATACTACACACTATAGCTGCCTCTCCTAAAAACCTCAGAACAGAGATAAACTAATGATGGGATGTTTGGTCTCCTTGTATAAGACTACACACCCACAGGGATATGCAAATGTGACTGTAAAATAAACCTCATACTGTTTTACACTGCAGAGCTGGAGAAAAACAATTTGCAACCATCCTGTAATTTCTTAAAATCATTGAGGTGTGAATTCTGTGTTGCACTGCAGTCAGCTTTGATTAAGTTGGATTTCCATTTCATTTCTATCTCTGGTGAGTTTTCCAACAAAGGAGATTAAAGTCACAAAGCAACAAATCTAACATAGTTTATAGCACCTGCTGAAGGGGCTCAGAGGCCCAGTTTTGGAAAGTATGAAATTGAACAGTGCGAGTTACATTTTGATCCAAAAAACACCCTGGAGAACAACTTAAATACTCCAAACAAAATTGACATTTGACATTTACAGCAACAATCGTACGACCCAACAAATATTTTGTCACAAAACAATGCAAAAAATGATTTCCTTTGCAACTGTCTACCATTTAAAGTTCTTGATAACACTTTCGGGCCTGAGTGTTTAAATGATTTCCAACATTACACAACGTTCACAGTGAAAAACCAACAGCTCCAGTGTTCAAGATCTAAATGTGCTATGGTCATTGGTCCAAGAGAAAATGTAGAGACACACACAGACACACGAGTGCAGACACACACGCACACACACTCTCTTACTTTCTCTGCTGTAAACTCACAGACACTCTTATATTCTCAAAGCTGTCCTATGACAAGGGAATTTGTTTGTGTCCTCTGGCTACCACAGATGGGTCTCTCGGATCTCAGAAATGATGTTATTGGCCTTTTTGAGCGCCTGAGAAGGAAAGAAAAAGGACACGGTTATTACATCTGTGGCCTTAAAAGAGGGGATGAAGCTAAAGAGAAAGTCTCTGTTGTTCTTGATACTCAGAACCTACTCAGAGAAAGAGAGCAACAGGCAATTTCACCTCAAGCATTTGAGCAACCTCGGTCCTCTGCTGTGCCGTGTCCTGTGACTCAATGAGCAGGTCCTGCAGCAGTGTCTGTTTGTAAAGCTGACCCACCAGCTCGCTCTGCAGATGCTCTTTCACAAAGTTCACCAGGAAGTGCATCACTGTCTTGGGCACGCTGTGGACACACAGCCCCGAGACAAAGTTACAAAGTCAGCATCAATAGCAACAACAAGAGTGGAAACAGAAGGGGAAATGGGGAGAGAAGGTGCCCCCAGCAGCTCTGAATTTGTTCCAGTCCAACCTGTCTTGGATGCTTTTGCGGACAATGAGGAAGTAGCAGTTGATGAGCCGCTGAATGACCTCACAGTCCCTCTGCTCCCTGGAACTCAGCTTGCGGGATACGGGCACCGCCTGGCAGAGAGAGAGAGAAGTAAAATGTTGGTGGTGTTCATATCATTCGAGTAATTTGTCCTACTGCTAATCTCACCACTCACTGTGTCGAGGAGGTTAATGGCCTGGCCCTTGCTGGGGCTGCCAAAGCCTGCAGGCGGGGCTTTCTCCTCCGCAACTTTATCGTTCTTCCAGCGCTTCCCTCCATCGAGGGCCTCTGCCTGACAGTGAGAAATCCGAAGAAGTCAGAGGGTCAAGGCAATTTTCGGCTGAGCCTGGAATTTCACTGCAAGCTATGAAAGGGGCTGTTAATGTTTGGATGCAGAACATAATTGTTAAGGCTTTTCAGAACACAACCGCTGCTGTTTACCCAGGCAGAATAAATGATAAATGTGAGTACCTGCTGTAAGGGACAAACAACTACCTGCTGACTGTTGACAGATGCTGAGACCTGCGCTGCATCTGCGAAGTCTGGATGCTTTGTGTTGATGTAGGCGAGCTCTATTGCTACTAAATTGTGTACCTAAAGTTAAAAAAGCAGAGTTAATATTGTTATCGGCTGTTGGTTATTATAATTAGTCTTAAAAATCCTATTCAAACTGTGGATTACCATTTCATTAGTAATCGGCAAACGCTTGCGCAGTAATCCAGTCACTACTTCCACTATAGAGTCGTGCAGTTTGGGAAATCGCAGAAGCTCCTTGCAAACACAGAGACATACTTTTTTAGCATGATGCCATCATAATTAATGCAGTGCTGTTTCAGGAAGTCTGTGATGTGTAAAGTGCATCTCAATCTCTGAGCTAACCTGCGTACTAAAGGAGGAGCAGTGCTGGATGATCCTCTGCAGCTCCTCATGAACGAGCTCCACGCAGCGGAGACTCGGCTCCTCCAGCCGCTTAATTTGCCGCTTCGCCAGCAGCTCAAAGGACACCTCGGGCACAAAAAGTGCCGGGCGTGGACCCTGCAGGGCAAATCATACACACGCATACAAGCTCTACTATTCACCTGCTATTCCTCCAAAACAGCAGACCTAGACCAGAATTTGGATTAAATAAATGACATGAATAGGTGAGAGGATAAGCTTACCGTAGCATTGCGGATGGCAGTGAGAATATCGAGCTCAGTCAGTCCCCCGAGGGGGTCGATGGATTGCAAAGTGCGGCCAAAGGTCTCATGGAATATGTAACAGATGCGAGCACCCCCACAGCTGCAGAGGAGATGGGTTCAGCTGAGACACCAACGCTGTTTCTCAGCAATGTTAATTACACCAAATCAAATGCAGTCAACCAAAAAGGGTCAATATTTGCTCCCTATATATTTACATGAATTAAATTGCCTAGTGGTAAGAGAGCTGTTGAGATGAAGGTGCCAACAGAAGATGGCGATACTTTAATTTAAAATTACGCTACCCCAAGGACATCATTCTCCTGTCATGCATTGTGAACCAGGTAAAATACTGAGATTTGCAGTTAAATTAATAAATAAGGTGCCAACCTGAGAAAATTCACTAGAACATGAAAAAAGGCTGCTGTCATCAGAAAAGTATTGCTGCTAACATAGAGAGGCTAGACTCACAGCTCTGAGGTTTGGATGTATCTGGCTGTTCCTTCGATGGTGTTACAGTAATCGCTGGCAAACTTGGTGACAATCTGCAGCAGGGTGGCACTGTGGTCCTCTACCGGCTGCCCATAGCTGTTGAGCCTCGCCTGGTACTGGGAACTCAGCACTGTCACCCGGGTTTTGAGTTCTGGCAGGCAGTCCCGGATGTGGTGCATCAGAAGCCTGCTAAGAGTTTTGGCCAAATAACGTGAGCCAGCGCGGGAGGCGAGCGAGGGGTAGTGGCGCTGCAGGAAGGCATGCTCATCCCTTGTACAGTCCTCTAGGCTCTTC